ATGAACTTGAAAGTGATTTGTTTTCTTTGAAATTAGAAAGATGAAAATGTTTTAAATTGTAAGTAAATTTTCTTTTCAGTCACTTTTTTTCTTGGTTTTCCTTGAATTCTTTTCTTTTAACACATTTCCAATATTCTTGCGGCTCTTCGTAACTGATTCCTTGAATTTCTTTTTTTTCATATTGAGAAAGTATGTTTTCATTATTCTAGTTGCTTCCGATCGGCGAGAAGTTGTTTGCAACTTAAATGATAGCGATCAAATAAAAAAATTCGCCATAGCTTCAACTAATCAACATTGACTTGCTAGTTTGCTAGAATTTAAAATCAAAAGCGTCAGCGCCATTTTTCTGTTTTCATAATCAGTTTTTCTTTTCTGTTGTTTTGTTATTGTTTCAGTTTTTCACTGTTCATGAATTATTGCTCATCCAGTGTCCGATTTTGTTCTACTTTTATGACTCAATTTGTTTCTAAGATTTTTTAAGACAAGAAAAATAAAATTTACAAACTTGAATTAATTTATGAGTTTTCTTGGAAAAGTTATGCTTTAATAGTTTATTTCATTTAAGCGAAAAAAGGTCAGTGAAATGAAAGAGGTTTTAAATTCACGTGTGATGAAAACAGATATTATGAAAATTTTTGGTATCGGGTTTTTTTTGAGACGCTGTGAGAATTTTTTTCTCAAAAGGTTAGGTTTTCTCAAAAATGACAATGCCTATTTTCAAACTGGGTACCAGTGGGAAGTCCGCCAACTATTCTGTTCGCCTGTGTAATTCTCTTTTTACCTTGCCTCTTACCTTGACTTCGAAAAAGTGTGTGGGCTGAGTTTTTGACCCATATTTTTGGATTTTTGACTTTTTCTCAAAAACAACGTTCCCGAAATTGAAATTTTGGTTTCAATGGGTTAAACAGGTTGTGTTAAGCTCCCCTGATTAAGCAGCACGCCCAATTGTTTTTACTTAAAAAGTTATGGCCCTCAGAAAAGTTTCGATTTTTTTACCATTTTCTGAAAAGTTTTGAACCATATTTTTGGATTAACTTTTTCTCAAAAACTCCTCTCTCTGGAATCTGAGATTTTGGTTTCAATGGGTAAAACCGATTGAAGAAAGCTCCCCTGTGTAAGCAGTTACGCCTTAGTTTTTTAAACAAAAAGTAATGACCCTCGGTGAAGTCAAAGTTTTGATTTTTTGACTGTTTTTAATCTTTTTGACTAAACCATAAAGACCAAGGATTTTTTAAAATGATTTCTTAATAGGAAACAAACAAGTTACTTAAGCAAAAAAATAAAATTCAACCCAGCGCTTACCAAAAACATTTGCACAGAAATCAGTATCATGTTGATATAGGTCTCCAAAACTGTCTAGTTTAATTGCTGGTCATTGCCTTATCTTTATTAAATCTTATAATGTATTTTGACAATCTTATTGAAAAGAAGTCTAATTAGCTCACTTATTTTTTTTGAAATAAATCTATTCATTACAGATCGCGTGTGTATTGTTCTAATCCGTGTGTCACTAAGATGCTTACTTATTTCTTTTGATGTTATGAAATTATTCACTTCTTTGCTTGTATGTTTTTTTTCTTATGACTGTTGTTAGTATTTATATCTGTTAGAAGACTTATATCTATGTAGCTCATAGGTTGAGTAAACTTGGTATTTTCGTCTTGTCGATCTTACTTCATCGAACTTTCTTTTACTGGCGATTATTCTCATTAGTTTTTTTTGTTGTTTCTGTAGTTTATCTAGATTTGATATGAGAATAAAATCAGTGATTCATATGATGCTGCTATGAGATGCTCAATGTCCTGAAAATTCTCACGTTCTTGAAAATGCTTATTTTTATAAAAATTCAAATTGATTACTGGGTGGTTAAAGTTTCAAGGCAGATTTACAAAGTCAGTTTTTTTCTCGACTCAACTGGTGTCTGCTCAAAGATGGTCGGCCTTGTTTCCGCTTCGTAAATTTTTTCAGTTATTAATTAGAAATTATAATGCCTGCATGGCTTGCTTGTCTAGTTTTCGTGTACGACAAAAACAGGTATTATTAAACTGTATTGGATTTGGTTTTTTATATTTATTTTTTGAGGTATTTTGAAGTTTATATCACTTTTTTGCAAAAAGTTTTTCTTTTTTTCAGAAACCTGTAGATTTTCAGAAAGGTGTATCCATAGAAAGTGTATGCATACTCTTCTGGTACCTTTTTGCCTTACACCTTTGTCTACAGCCTTCGAAAAAGTCTGTGGGGATAATTTTTGACCATTTTTTTGGTTTTTTGTTTTAATCAGAAACTAACCTGCCAAATCTGAGATATTGGTTTCACTGAAAAGAAAAAAATAGAAAATCGCCCCCTCCACAAGCGGCTACGCTCAAACTTCTTTTACACAAGATTTTGGCCTTCGAAATATTCAATATTTTCATTTTTTAAATCATCCCTCCTAAACCTGAGGTTGTGGGTTCAATGGAGATAACGGGAAGTTCAAAGCTCCCCTGCATTAGTGGCCATTTTTTAAACAAATTTTTATCGTCCTCGAAAAATTATTGTTTTTTTTTTGAGCGTTGTAATTTCTATGAAATTTAACGACAGTTACCTTTCCATATCTGAGATTTTGGATTCAAAACGAAGAACGGGTTGTGGGAAGCTCCTTTGTATACGCGACGACGCCCAAATTATTCTTGACACAAACAGTTATTGCCCTCTGAAAAGTCAAATTTTGGATTTTTAACCTTTTTTTGAAAGTTTTTGAGTTTTCTCGAGATCTACGATGCCAAAGCTGAGTTTTTGAGTTCAATCGAAATAACAAATTGGATGAATCTCTTCTGCTTAAACGGCTACGCTCAGTTTTTTTCTGAACAATACTTTGAGCGTTTTTAGAAGTTTTTTTTATGCTACTCGAAAATTACCGTGCCAAATATCAGGTGAACTGCACAATCGAGATTTTGGGAATCTTCTCTACTTTACCAGCCTCGACCTGTTTTAAGCAGAAAAAAAATCCGGATATCGGAAAGTCTGAGTGTTAAGGTTCAATCGAAGTTACAGGTTTGAAGAGTCTCTTCTGCATAAGCGGCTACGCCCAATTTTTCGAATAAAAAGCTCGGAAATGTCAAATTAATGATTTGGTGGCCTTTTTTTCTACTTTTCTTGATAAATATCTCGCCAAGTCTGATATCATAGGTTTGAGCGACCCAAGAGAATATTCGAAGCTTACTTTTATAATTTGTTACGACCAGTTTTTTTTAAGAAAAAGGTTATGACCTAAAACGAGTCAAAGTTTTGATACTTTGACTATTTTTGGAAGTTTTTTTACGCTACTCTTAAATTACCGCGCCAAATCTAGGGTGAAGTGCTCAATCGAGATTTTAGTATTTTCCTCTACTTTACCGGCCACGACCTGCTTTAAGTAGAAAAAAGTTCTTGTTTGAACTTCTTGTTTTTATAAGCTTTTTGAATTGGCTTAAAAACTATGCTATCGAATCTGAGATGAAATTTTCAATCGGAAGAAGGAGTAGGGCAATTTTTTGCCGCAGAAGAAGCTTCTCCTTAATTTTTTTTGTAAGAGAAAGGTTATGATTTTGGGAAATTTCCAAAATCTCCGAATTTTTCACTCTTTTCACTTATTTTAGTAGAGAAACAACTCAAGTTTTGGGCGAAGTTTTGAAATTAAGCATTTCGTCGCGCTTCAGTATAACATATTCAAAAAATATCAAATACGAACCTCCAGATTTAGCTGACCCCTAAGTGGCCTTCATCGAGACATTAGAAAATTTTGGTTAACCTAGTTTTTTCAAAATTTTTTTGGCTTTTTTCTCATGGTTGTTTTTTATCGCAAGTGGTGCGAAGCTCTGCTTCGCCTCTGTGTATTTGAATGAACTTGAAAGTGATTTGTTTTCTTTGAAATTAGAAAGATGAAAATGTTTTAAATTGTAAGTAAATTTTCTTTTCAGTCACTTTTTTTCTTGGTTTTCCTTGAATTCTTTTCTTTTAACACATTTCCAATATTCTTGCGGCTCTTCGTAACTGATTCCTTGAATTTCTTTTTTTTTCATATTGAGAAAGTATGTTTTCATTATTCTAGTTGCTTCCGATCGGCGAGAAGTTGTTTGCAACTTAAATGATAGCGATCAAATAAAAAAATTCGCCATAGCTTCAACTAATCAACATTGACTTGCTAGTTTGCTAGAATTTAAAATCAAAAGCGTCAGCGCCATTTTTCTGTTTTCATAATCAGTTTTTCTTTTCTGTTGTTTTGTTATTGTTTCAGTTTTTCACTGTTCATGAATTATTGCTCATCACTTTACAAGGTGAATTAAAAACGTCGATCGAATTGAACTACCGTCAGTTTAAAATGCAGTTTCAGCTGCGTAATCTGAATGATTTTTTATTCAAGCTTAAAATGTAGATCCAATAAACAAAAAAAACGCACTAAACGCGTGTTTGGTTGCTTTTTCATTTGAAATGTTTTCACAACTGTTGTAGTAATGCTGGAATATTCTGATTCCATTTTAGCGCTTTTTTATCAATGTGTTGTCCTTACAGTTTATCTTGACTAGACCATAACGAGCTTTAAAACTACAAGGCGGCAATGTTCCGTCTTCTCGGGAGCATGTTGCGAAACTGTTGATACCTGCAACTTCAGGTTTGAATATTTTTCTTAAGTTTTCAACGGAAAGCATAGAATCGCGGCGTTTTTATTTTAAGAATCAATGGGATTAGAATTTTTCCCGCAAATTGTCCTGAGTGCTAGTTTTTTTTTACGAATTAAGATTTCAATTTGTTTTTGTTTTGCTTGAGGTTTCGTTGGTATTTTTTTTTCGTTTTCGTAGATTACTTTTTTGAGCTTAACAATCAGAAAAAACTATTTGTAGCTGAGTTGATCAGTTTACCGAGAAGTTATTTCAACTAAAAAGAAAAAACCAAGAAAATTATGAATTATTTTTGGTTCTTAAATAAATTTTATCTCTGGCATAAAACTCGTTTGAATAATATTTGTTTTTTTTTCTGTTTAGGTCTGCCCACTGTTAAAGAGCGCCAGAATGAGGAGTTGCTGAAGAAAGCGTGGAATGCTAATGGAAGTCCATTTGGACACACTCCATTCGACCCCTCAACAGTCAAGTTCAACTGAACTGAACTGCGCAAACGGCTGATCGAAATTCCATCAGAATTGCAAGGAGTTAATTGGACTTTAAGCCCACTTCTCGCTCATTCAGCTCCGACCAATAAATGACTCTAAATATTTTGTGGTCTCAAGACGAACGAACGGACGCTTATCGATATGAATGTTTAATCTGATAATTGATTGGTTCAGAAGGTCAGAATCGAGACGAAAAATCATTGCAGTGCTTCCAAGAATAATTGAAAAATCAGTTTGTTGTTTACTTGAGTGCAAGATGCTCACAAGTTCTTCGGAACCAAAACTGATCAAAATGTATTTGCAATTATATTGAACTAAATTGTTGCTGATCTAATTATTAGTCAACTTACTCCAAGTTTACTTTGAAGAATGCCATGCTTCGCGCGTTTTTTGCTGCCTTCTGGTTTTCAATTTATTAAGAAAAGCTTTTATTTGTTTTGTCGCCATGTGTTGCAAGTCTTCGCTTAACAATAACTTAGCGTCAATTTTCCGATTTTTTTTTGTGTCAAACTCCTCTTAGCTTTCAATATATGAAGAGATTTCGAGCGTCGACATTTGAAGATTGTTGAATTCTCAAAGCAACACTTGTTTAACTGAACGGCGAATTTCATCTATAGCTTTTTGTTTTGGTTGTTAATTAATTATCTTAAAAATACGAAAAACTTTAATGCCAAGTTAATTTTCACCCTTTTCAGACAGGAATGTTTAATATGTACAGTCCCGCATGCGTTAGCTCATTTACCACGTAGCATATAGGTGTACAAAGTAGAATTAGAAGGAGAATGAAATCGACCTGGAAAGAAAAAAACCAGGAAAACAGATTATCTAAAGACATATCATCGACAACAGCAACTAAGAAACACGACAAGCAAATGTTTAGATTGTGCTAGTGGAACTTCGCAGTTTGTAAAATTTGATTACTGAAAACAAGCAAGAAGAAATGATGGAAGAAAACCCCTACAAAGAGAATCCACTGAAGGAGCTCGCTATTAAATTGGTTTGTCACTTGATATTAATTTTGCAAACTTAGTTTTCTTTCTCAAGTTTGGCACTTAAGAGACTTGGAGTTAGATTGCTGGTGAGGATGAAATTTGTCTCCTCGATTTGGTTTCTCAAAAAAATTGCTTCATCTTTGTATGCGAATTATATGTTTTTTTTTACAATTAGTTTTTACAAATATGATCGTTAATATATATGATTCGTTTTAATAAAATGTTGGCTGTTTCCAGGGAATCGTTGAGAGGCGGGTTCCAGACAAGCGTGAGATCATATTGGGTGACAGTGAGAAGTTCAAGAAGTCATTCTACCCCTTTCCCTACCCTAAGAACAAAATCATATCTTCAAAATACACGCTCTGGAACTTTTTCCCAAAAAACTTGTTCGAGCAATTCCAACGGCTGGCCAATTTCTACTTCGGGGTCGTAACTATAGTAGTCGTAAGTATACTATACAAGTCTACTTTTACAAGGTTCTCTTAACGGTTTGTCAGTTCCAGTTTTTTTTTGCCAATCGATTCAAATTAACTGTTAATTACGCTTGCGATTAGCAAGCGTTATCAAACCGGAATATAGACTTTTTTTGGGTTAACCACTTGTTAAACAGAATCACTTGTAGCTTGGTCATAAATGAATTCGAAATTCCACGCGTGTCCGGCACTTAGCCTGGAGGTGAATTGTTCGACTGGGACTGCAAAGGTCGTGGGTTCGAATCTGACCAGGAAGAGTTTTGGTTCTCAAACTTGAAATATTTCTTTTCCAAAAAGTGTCGGTCTATAGTTTGTCTGCCTGTGTTCTGACGGCTTAGTGCCACATCGTAGAATTGATTTGTCGTACGCAATTTTCAATGTAGTTATTTTAAGTATTTTGAATTACTCCTGCCATTTTGAATTTTACTAGCCTTGACTTCGTATTTTTTTGTTGTTGCTGTTTTTGTTTTTTTTTCGCTGAAAAATTCTATCCGGCCTAAATGATTTCGGCGTATATTTTATCCGCTTAGTGACCTAATTTGGGGTCAGTTCGATAGAAGTAGAAGTTCTGCTTCATTCCGGATCGCACAAAATGCTGAAGTATTCAGAAAAGAATTATAGTTCAAAGTTTTTAGGACAACAATTATATTTTCGGTTCTACCTGATACAAGTTTATTCGGCTCAGTTACCGCGTGTTGGTTTTTTTTTGAAGTTTTATCAATGGCCGTCGACAGTTTTTTTGGAAGTAGTTTCCGCAAATAGAAGTTGATTCCAGTCAACATTTAATTTTTTCTAAGTTTTTTTGAAGTGTTTTCTAGTTTTTTTTCGGAGAACTTTGGAGTGAATTTTTTGATTATTTGATTAAACCGCTAGCGAAACTTTTCGTTTGTTTCTTAATTTCGCTCTGATGCCTTATAAAGTTTTTTCACTTTGTAGGGAGAAATTTTCTACCCTTGCTTCGCAATCCGCCATAAATTGGTATAGGGGATATCAAGTTTTCTTGATGACGCTTTTAGGCTTTATTTAGGGCTGTTTTCTTTGTGGGTAGAAACTCTCTGAACATTCATTTTGCGAAACTTTGGACCAACACCTCTGTCGGTGACAAAGGTCTGTGTTGGAAACGTTCCCATTCGCGTCGAAATTTTGTTGCTTTTTTTGCTTCCCCAGTTTGATGTAATTTTCGAGAAACGTACGCTGACTGCAATTGCAGGCACCCCGTTAGCAAAATGGCAAATAGAAAATTATGCTGTTCCTCTGTGAGTTAATTTGTGCGAGAAAAAATTGAACAGAATTGAAGAAATTACCGTGAAAAAAGCAAAACAATGATTGGAAATCAAGAAAATGATGCAAAACACCTTTTGTGTTTCCTTAAAAAAGTATTTGCTTCTGAAATATCAAAAGTCCACAACTCAGCTTACATCCTATGAAAAATCAGGTTCATAAGTCAATTCAGTTAGAAAGGTCAGCCTTTTCAAAAGCGTTAAAGGTTTTGGATCACCCTGAAGTTAAGTAATAGTGAAAGAAATTATTTTTTTTTAGGTTTTGTGCTTTGTCAATGAACATAGTGAATACACTTATAAAGGTCGTGTTGTTTTTTAGGAAAATTTTCTAAACGTTCAAATTTTTAGCGGCTTAGTTTTGCTATATAAAAGACACATTGCGCTCTCTAATGATGAAAGTGCAAATGGCGAGAAAAAATATGAAGCACTGTTAGTTTAAGAAATGGAAATTTTCTCAGAATTCCCAGCGGACTCAAATTATTTGTTGATCTAGTTTTTTCTAATTGGGAAGACAGTGTCAATCATGAAAGATTATTGAAATTGAAACAGCTTTAATGTGATACGTTTTCCTTCGAAAATTAAGTTGAAAATTTGTTCTTTGTTCCGAATTTTAATGAAAGTCACGGAATATTTGTGCTCGGGAATTTTTTTGTCCCTGAGAAATTTTCAATTTTGAACTAGCAGTTTTTGTTGGACTTCTGAGTTTATGAACTTAGTTTAGAATCTTCTGTAGGTAGTGATGTTTTTATTTTAGTTTTTTTGTCTCGAAAACTTAGAACTTTAGAATTTTGAACTTAGTAATCGTAAAGCTGATATTTTCCAAAAAAAGTCAGTTTTTCTCCTCTGTTTCCTTCGGTTCATTGACTTTTTTTCCCAACTTTCTGTTGGCTATGTTTGTTATATCAGTCAAAAATTATTGTCATTCTGAGATAAAATAAGAAATTTGTTTCACCTGTAATGATTTTTGTAAATCTATGTGGGTTAAAGACTGCCATTTTGGGATAATCAACGCGCGATAAATGTCGTGCTGTTTAACGCGTAAGCGGTGATTTGATCCGTCATAGATATCGCTCCAAGATGATTTGAGGCATGCTTTTTTGGTCTGTTGAAAACTTAGCAATTTGGGATATATGTCACTTTGTACTTTACATAGCGTGTAGGGGTATAGTTTTCAAAAATTCAAGAAGTTATAGGGAATTTTTTTTATATATCTATTCTTTTTTTCGACGTGTAGACTATTCCACTGCCCTCTAAAGGCAGTCGAAACATGAGCAGTCTTGTTTTTTTAAAGGTCTGCTTAGCTTGATCTGAGTTCATTGAACTTTGGTTTTTTCCAGTTACTCTTTCAACTGTCAGTTGGTTATGTTTGAATTAATATTGGGGCCAACTAGCTGTACTAGAGGAGCCTTGTGTTTTTTAAATTAAAGATTTGTCTTTTATTCTTTCAGATTTAGTCAGTCAAAATTTCCAGATTTGAGATTTCCAGTATTTTCAGATTTTATAATTTGTTTGAGACGGTTTCACAGTTCACTATTTGTTTAGATCCTGATAGACGCGCCTGTGAGTCCAGTAGTATCTATTATTCCACTAGCGTTCGTCATTATCACATCAATGGCCAAACAGGTGAGGCACTTACGAACTTATGTATGCGAATCGAAGTGAGTTTACCTAAGGGTAGGGGGTTGTTGTTATTGTTTATTAAGCAGGTATTAAGTAAGACAACCGAAAAGTAATTGACAACCGATCGACAATTAAGTAATTGGACACCCTTGGTGTTAATTCTCGAATTGAAAAAGGTTTCGAAAAAAGCGTCTCAGGTGCAAAAAAAATGAATACCAAGTTAGAATAAAATCAATTCTTTTGGGTCTTTAAAACGTTTGCATTGCAGGGTTATGAGGACTGGGTGCGTCACAAAGCAGACAGTGCTCTGAACAACAGGGAGGTCAAAGTAGTCATGGACGGGTTCAGTCGCAAGGTCAAATGTGAACACATATCAGTGGGAGATATTGTACAGGTAGATGCAGATGAAGAAATCCCGGCTGATTTGGTCTTCTTATCCGGGTCCAATCCAGAGGGAACTTGTTACGTCACAACTGCGAATCTGGACGGAGAAACGAATCTCAAGGTGAGTTTGTTACGCAGCTGCTATTGATTATCGACGCTTGAATAAATTTAGTGCCGCTTGATTAATTTGGTTCCACCTTTTTTCTATCACTGTTGACTGATTTTATCACCCCCTTCATTGTAAAAAAAAAAAACGACTGAGACGATGAATGAAGTGATATTTTATAATATCATATATTTATTAATTAAGAACGTAATTTTCCAATTTATGAGGAAAGGCCTAAATGAATATGCGATTGGCAGCCAGCGTTTCAGGCTTGTTAAAACAGTTTCAAGAGTTTCAATTTTTCTAACGCGTTCCTTAGTTTTTTTTAAAATCACATTGTGAATAATAATCCTCGAATCTGTTTGTATGTGTAGGAGTTCGTGTGTCATCAGGAGACTGCCTCTTTGTCCACTGAGGAGCAGTTGCGCACTATCAATGCACTAATAGAGTGCGAACAGCCACAAGTGGACCTGTACAAGTACAACGGCCGAATCAACCTAGTCCTACAGCAGAGCGAAAAGTGCATCAAGTAAGAGATGGTTTGGAACCTATCAGGGTTGCTTGATTTAAATCATTGGTTTAAATCCGATTTTAATCAGAGGTTTTGTTCGATTTGAATCAAATGTGAGAAGATCCAAATTTTCTCAGTTAGTGGCGTGTTTTTCCCGCCAATTACACGCAAACTTTAACATGTCAGTTTTGTAAAACTGGTCTTTCTTTTGTATCAAGGTTCGAAACAAAAATTGTTTCCATAATAACCTTTATTTCAATAAATTTTCCAACCTTTCTTTTGGTGTTTCGAAGATACTCGGCAGTTTTTGAAAAAATTGGATTTAAATTTTTTTAAAAATCGATTTAAATTTAAAAAAATTTAAATTTAAATATTAAAGAAAATGAATCAACGATGAATTGTTACTATACTTTTGTCAATTAAGTTCAGCCAAAACACAGGAAAAAACGTATTGCTCCATACAATCAATCCATCTGTTTATTAGGTTAATTTTATGACTGTTTTTACGTGCTGAAATGTGCAAAAAGTTGATCTTTGACTCTAAATTTGAGCAGTCTTAGGTTAATTTAATTTGGTATCAACTCTAAAAGTCTTCCAATATGGAACTGTGTTCATATTTTGTTTTTGGCAAAAAAAGTTCCCAACTGGCTAAATATAGTAAGAGTAGCTTGCCAATATTTAGTCATTGAATGCGATTATCATTAACAATCACATGTCAATGTTGACTCTCTACAAACTGTCGGCAATATTTGAATACGTCATCGGTTTTGATAATAAACAGAAGAATCAATTGAATAAGCTCTTGGCGAAGGATATGAATACAGGTCAACTTTTTTTCAGAGATTTTGATAATCTTTTCCATCTTGTTTCTCTAAATTGGGGTAATTTTTTCAGAAGTAAATCATCAAATTTCCGGAAATTCGAATAGCCTTAAGGTATAATTTATTTCGGTAAATGGACTATAATCTGTTGCTGTCACTTCTTAAAATTCAGTAGCAAATATAACTGCTATTTGAATGCGCTGTGGCGACCTCGTTGGTAATGTTGCCCAGCAATCATATGATTGTGGGATCAAATCGCACATGCGCTGCAATTTTCAAGGTTAGCTCTTGTAAGATAGCGTTTGCTCATTGAACTGATGATTAAGTGAACTCTAGTTCAAACTTAAAATAATTAAGCTCCGGGATTGGCCTCTGTCTGGTTGACTAAAAAAGCGTCTAATGTTTAGACATTCAAAAAACTTTTTTAAACAATAATCTCAATGAATCTCTTAAATTAGCTTGACTAGGCCTTGTTCATTCACTTCAGTTCAATGTTTCTTCAGATCTTTGTCTGCGGAGAACCTTCTTCTTCGAGGTTGTTCTCTCAAAAACACGGAGAGAGTTTTCGGAGTGGCCATCTACACCGGAAAGGACACCAAAATGGCACTAAACTCCAAGTTCAAACCCCACAAGGCAAGCAGTCGATCTCCACTTACCAAGTTCATGAAAACCCAGGCTATCACAAAGGCACCTCGTCAAATTACATCTTGAAGTCGAATTAAAGTTTTTTGCATATACGGCGATTTGCATTTAGGAAAAACTAATCGAAAATATACAATTGCTCACTTCGACATGTTTTAGTTTGAATAGATAACAGTCAAGGACATTTGAAGTAGTATTCAGGAAAAACTACAAAAATTAATGGGAAATTGTCAAAAGCCGTTTCTATTTAAATTTTACATGCAGCTGGGAAATAAATGTTTGATTTTATCAAGTACCATTTTTGATGCAGTTATGTGATTGCTAAGATATCCTCCTGAAAAGGATTGCGTCGCTGAGAAATGTCACATAAGTTGATTTAGTAAAACCTTGAAACCTTAAATATTTTCTTTTGTGAAATAATTAATTAATAACGCGCCGATAAAATAGTCTAACAAACTTAAATAAAAACTATTTTCCCTGACCTTGAAATATCCGAGTCATGGCCAAGGGTTTGAAATTAATACCACACTCGTTTAATCACGAGCGTTTTCTGAGAGACCTGAATTAAGTGAGCAACGCCCACCCTGTTTGAGCGATTGGGATTTTTTTTATGTATTCAAAGCTGATTCAGATGAATAAAGTTTTTGTTTTCATAAGAAAGGTAGTTCCATGAATTTTTAATTGTGATTAGGTGTCTACAGTTGAGAGTGTATTGAATCGGTTCCTAGTGGTAATGTTGCTGCTGCTGATTCTGGAGGCCATGTTCATGGCTGTCATGTACTTCTACTACATGACTGAAGACAGTGTCAAGGAGGCCTGGTATCTACAGAACAACACCGAATCTGTCAATGTTAGTATAATTATAACAATATTAATTACCCTTCCGATAAGCAAGGGTATTGCAATCGGGTACTATGTTCACAGATTCTGGGAATTTTGATCACAGATTAGTCAAATTTGATATAGTAAATTTAGTTTGAGTTTATACTGAATTCAAATTTCTCTGCGTTTCCGGCACATTTGGCCTGGAGGTAACGAATACGTCTGGGACGGCAAAGGTATGGGGTTCGCATCTGACCAGGACCTGTTTTTCTTTTCAGATAAAATTGTCGGCCTAATGTTTGTTTGCTTCGTGTCTGGACAATTAAGTCCAAAACATTTATGTCCCGGACAGAACTGTCCGAAATTCAAAAGTGTCAAAGACATTTGGTTCGCAGACAAAATTGTCCAAAAATTGCCCAGCTAATTAACAACCTAGATAATAACCGGATTATTTTGATAAAATTTTAAGATAAGACGGATCAATTTGATAAGGCCGCGCAACTAGGCAATAAGTCCGAAATCCGCCGAATTCTGATAGAAAAAACGTGTGGCGGGCAAAGAGTGTCCCGTTATAAAAAACTGCAATATGTTAAACTTGACAAAAATCTTTCTCAGTTTGTAGCGGCCTATGATCCGAGTAAAATTCTCAAATTCTTGAAGGGATGCAGCAGCAATTTTAAATTATGATTAAAATTCAGTTTGTCATCCAATTATCTAAAATTTATGTTGCAAAGCAACAAGTTTCATTAAATTTTTTCAAGTTGAACTTTTCCTAGTAAATTTCAAAATTGAGCTAGACCAGTTTTGAAAATCGCAAAACGATCCATGTAATTAAGATTTTTTTATCCCCTTTCCTTTTTTACCCAACTGAGTCAACCCACATCGAATTTAACTTATGTTACCCAACTTTGGGTTTTTCGTTTTGAATTTAAAACCAAATTGAGAATTTTTTTTTTCGATCCGAGATTTGAACTTTTGATCTTGAAACTAATGACTTCACCGCTCGGCCAAACGCGTTTTGAAGTTTCGTTGAAATTATTTTCATAATTCAGTCTCGCCTTGATTTTTCTATGGTTATTTGGTACGCAAAGAATTAAAATAAAACAGAACGATCTAACATACTCATAACATTAAAGATCACAAAGCATTAAAGATCACAAGGTCAAATCAAACAAAATAATTTCAGACATTTTTGTCTGGGACACAAATATCTGGTACAATTTTATAGTTTAGGACAGTTTTGTCAAGGACACAAATGTCTATGCACCGCACCGTGTCGGCTTAGTTGCCACATCTAAGAATCGTTTATTTTGGCTGTAAACGATTTTTGAGTTGTAGTTGCTTTTAGTGATTCAGCATATTGAAAATCCGGCCCAATCGAAATTCGATTTTCATATTGGTTGTAATTTCAGCTACTCAGTTTTTAAAATGTCGTATTTTTTCAACCTTATCAATTTCGACTTGTTTACACTACTAGCTTTAGCGAGCGTAGTGTAATAGCACGACTATATATTTTTTCAAGCCTAAGTCGCAAATAGTGGTGCCACTTTTGCGGCACCCTTAAGGCTTTTTGATAGCATGTGCTTTGACATTCGATTAATACTAAGTTAACACAGTTGATACATTTTTACTTCTTCAAATGAGCCGAAAAAATTGGTTTGTTTCAATTTAAGTACAATATTAAAAACTCGAAGAAAATTTCCAACTCTATTTCTGCAAAGTTGTGTCTATTTGTGTTTGGTGTTGGGTACGTTTCCTTTTCTTAATTTTACTGCATAGAGCTGCTTTTTTGTCGTTTTCTTGCGAGTGTTAGCGAAGCGCAGCTTCGCTTCTAAGTTTATATAGACTTAGTGGAATCCTACTGCGTCTTTTGATGACTGGAAAAAGTTTTTATGTGCGTGTTTGTTCTGAGGGGAAGGGGGACTTTGTTATGTTTTTCGGCATGAAGGTTTTCTGTTCAGATATTTTCGGTTTTGTTTCGTCTTGGTAAGTTCTTGGTCCGATGCCAATTTTGCATTCTATTGTCTGTGCATGTTTTTTTCATAATTATCATCCTTCATTTTGATAGATCTAGTTGCATGTATAGGAATAAAACATCAGTATTACTTTTTTGCTGATGTTTTTTCGGCTTTATGGTTGTCGGTTTAGTTTCCGAATTGTGTATACCACTTTGCATTCTCCTCATTTGTGGATTAAGTGGGTACGGTTTGGGCAGTATATGTATTTATTTCCAATACGATTTTGCCGAACAAAGTTGGTTGATTCAGCTTTAATTCTGTCTTTAAAGCTTATTTTCCAACAAATTTCCGATTTTTTCGAAATCAATAAACCTTTGGGCATAAATTTTAGGATCAAAAAGGCAAAGGCTTTTCGAGTGATGTTGTAATCTTTGTTAATTGAAATTGTTTATTTGAAGGAATAGAAATAGTGAAGCAACTGAAATTATTTACCGGAATTGGAGCTCAAATTTTTACAGTAAAAACAAATTAAAAAGAATTTTGAGCAATATGTGCTTTCATAAAAAAAGCGCATTCTGAGCGAGCTGTAAGGTTAGATAGGAGTATGATAATTGAGTTTCGCAAATATAGATGGGTCACTCGAAGTATTCGGTCTAAACACTTCGGATATGGCATCGATAGTTTTGTTTGAATGTGTTTTGTTACAAAAAAGGGGGAACAATCTTTCATACATGTTTTTTGAACCCCCGGTCCTTTACAATGCCCACTCGGGCACGTCTGCTCCATACTTGCTTCTTACAAATGTCAAAATATCATAAGTGTACCCCAGCTAACATAACAAAAAACCGGTGACTTCTTTCTGCGTGTATTTTTGAATCTCATTGACTTATTTTGAATTGAGATGATTTGTTTCAGGCGGGCAATACGATCAACGCATTTCTGAGTTTCTCAACTCTCATCAACTACATTGTGCCTATCTCTCTTTATGTCACCATGGGTAAGATATTGATGTACCTCAGTTTGTTAGACTTGATTAAAAGTTGATTACGTGTTAATGAATGAAGTGAGTCTGAACTTATTTAGGTCATGTGGTTTTTTTTGCAGGAATAGTTTTTCAAAGTTGCTCGCACGTAACATTGGTTTTTCGCGGTTTGACTTATAATTTGTTTTCAAGTGGAATTCAAATTCTTTCGCTCCAAGGAAGGCAATTTTTGCTCTCCAATGACGAGTGTGGAAACGGCGCAAAATTTTTTAACGTTTTTATCTTCTGAAAATAGCGTAGAAATTGTTGTTTAGATAAGAGGTTTTTGATTTTTGTATGCTTTTCGTTTTTCTTTTTCTAGTGTTTTTAAGAGCAATGAACGTATTTTTTTTGTTTGTTTTTCGGAAAAAGCTTTAAATAATTGTCCAGGCTCAAGCGATAGATAATTAGTGTCAATATACGCAGTGGAGACGTTTATTTTAATCGTGTGGTTTTTTTCGGGAAAATTTTTCAAGTTGTTCACGCTCAAATTTATTTTTTTTTGCGTTGGACTAGATTTCTATGTTCAATTCAAATTCTTTTCCTAAAAGTAACGATCATTACTCTCCAATAACGAAAGTGCAGATGGCGCGAAAAAAATTGAATGAATTTTCCCTTCAAAAGGTAATTTAAGAATTTATTGTTACTTTTTTTATTCCCGGTGGAATAAAAAAGTAACAATTGATCCAGTTTTCTCAAATTGGGACAGTTTTATCAAAAAGGTGTCATCATAAATTTTCTTGAAATAAGAGAGCTTAACGTTTCGTTAAGCTCTCTTGACGATAAGAGAGCTTGAAATAAGAGAGCTTAACGAGCTTAACACATTTCGTTTCTTCAAAACCTTAAAGTTGGAAACTATTAGTTTGACGATTTTCCAACTTGCTGTTTGTTTCACGATGAGTAATGATAATAGATTCATTTGAAAAGATCTGCAGACCATTGATTCTTGTTGATTTTTTCAGAGCTGCAGAAATTCATGGGTGCCAGGTTCTTCGGATGGGACGCACAAATGTATGATAAGGTTTGTTTTTGTTTCTAATACCTCTTTTTTTGTGATTCAAAAATTCATTTTTCAAGTCTTACTCAATGCCTTCAGATTATGTGGCCTTTCGATCTTAACGAAAGTTTTGCGAAACTGGATACCAGTCAATTTTACGTATTTTCTACGAAGAACTGGCCCAATATCATCATCAATTGTGCGTTATAAAATACGAGGCATTTACAAATAAAAGATAACTTCAATTAAAAACTGAAGATATAGCAGGTTTTTAACTAATATTACACTTCAAAAATACGGTATTTAAAAAAGCAAATAGCCATTTCATCTTCGGTTGTTTCTCGCTGAGTTATGATGCTTGTGTTCAGAAAACTGGTCAACATGCCAAAGCCAACACAAGTGACTTGAACGAAGATCTTGGACAGATCCAGTATCTGTTTGCAGATAAGACTGGAACCCTGACTGAAAATGACATGATGTTCCGACAGTGCTCAATAGAGGGTCAACTTTACCACGAGGTGTTGAGCTTTTTCATAAACTTTTTTTGCAATGCGAGATTAAGTGTTTTGTAATTACACCGAAGACTTTAGTCAAGGTGTTATGGTATCGTGTAACGGGTTTTTTTTTTAAATGTTGTCTGTTGTCAAGTGTCGACAAATAACGTCCACAATTATCAATTATCATGTGGGCTGGACTATATCGCGCTATGTCACGTGATTGCGTATGTTTGTTTCTTTATTTGTTCATCTTTATTTATTTAATTATCTGTTCTTCTATTTATTTAATTATGTTTAGTTTGCTTATATTTATTTATAATTTATGTATGTACATATTTATTTTTGTTTATTTTTATCACGTGTTTGTTTATTTATTTAATTATTCTTTCTTTCATTTAGTTTTGCTTTTATTATTTCTGCGTGTGTATTTATTTAATTTATTTATTTTCATTTATTTATATTATGGGTCTGTTTGTTTGGTTATTTGTTCATATATATTTTTTCATGTCTATTTAATTAGTTGTACATTTCACTTTTGCTTTTATTTATTTATTTATTTATTTATGTATTTATTTATGTATTTATTTATGTATTGATTTATTTTTTTATTGCTTATTTATTTATCAGGTGTGTTTTGTTTATTTGTTGATATTTATTTCTATATTTATTTAATTATTCTTTCTTTCATTTAGTTTTGCTTTTATTATTTATGTATGTGTATTTATTTCATTTATTTATTTTCATTTATTCATATTATGGGTCTGTTTGTTTGGTTATTTGTTCATATATATTTTTTCATGTCTATTTAATTATTTGTACATTTCACTTTTGCTTTTATTTATTTATATATTTATTTATGTATTCATTTATGTATTTATTTATTTATTTATGTATTGATTTATTTTTTTATTGCTTATTTATTTATCAGGTGTTTTGTTTATTTGTTGATATTTATTTCTATATTTATTTAATTATTCTTTCTTTCATTTAGTTTTGCTTTTATTATTTATGTATGTGTATTTATTTAATTCATTTACTTTCATTTATTTATATTATGGGTCTGTTTGTTTGGTTATTTGTTCATGAGATATATATTTTTTCATGTTAATTTAATTATTTGTACATTTCAGTTTTGCGTTTATTTATTTATTTATTTATGTATGTATTTATTTATTTATGTATTGATTTATTTTTTTATTGTTTATTTATTTATCAGGTGTGTTTTGTTTATTCGTTGATATTTATTGCTATATTTATTTAATTATTTTCTTTCATTTAGTTTTGCTTTTATTTATTATTCATGTATGTATTTATGTGTTAGTACGATTTTTAGCTCTAGAACTGTTATTCCATGATCTTTGTCAATATAGCAAAAATTTGACGTATACATGTGTTAGTACGATTTATAGCTCTCGAACTGTTATTTCATGATCTTTGCCAATATAGCAAAATTTTGGTGTATACATGTGTTCGTACGATTTTTAGCTCACGAACTGTTATTTCAGGCTCTTTGTCAATATATTAAAATTTTGGTGTATACATGTGTTAGTACGATTTTTAGTTCTAGAAGTGTTTTTTTATGATCTTCGTTGATATATCAAAAATTTAACCTATACATGTGTTAGTACGATTTTTAGTTCTAGAACTGTTATTTCAGGCTCTTTCTCGATATAGCAAAATTTTGGTGTATACATGTATTAGTACGATTTTTTGTTCTAGAACTGTTATTCTTCAATTATTAGTTGTTCAAGTTGTTTGGTTTTTGCTTCAGTTTCTATGCCTTCGGTGTATTGCGCGTAGCGCCTATGTTCAGATACTAGCCTTTTCGCGTGAATATCTTATCTTCTGATTTACTAATTAAAAGTCTTAGTTCTCTATGGACGCAACGTTTTCACTTTTTAAGAGTAATGAACGTAGTGAAGACTCTTTTATAAGTCTTGCTGATTTTCTTGTTTGTTTTTTTTTTTCCGGAAAAAGTCTTAAAATATTGATGCACTTAGGTATAATGCACTTTTCGAGTTCAAAGTGACGTAAATAGCACTCTCCAAATACGAATGTGAAATGGCGCGAAAAAACGTGAACGATATCTAGTTTCGAAAGTGGAATTTAAGATTTTCCAGCCGTATTGATCCAGTTTTCTCAAGTTGGGTTCATGTTATCAAAAAAGCGCCAATCAAAAATTGTTCTAGAAATTCAAAGAGCTTAAAGGGCATCTATGTTTTCTTGAAAATTCGAAAGTTGTGATTTTTTCAGGAAAGTCGGTGTTTTGTAATGTTTACTTGCGTTCATTACTCTTGAATAGCTTACTAAGATAAATTTTCAAAATTTTTGAAAACAATTCGCGCTATGAAAAAACTTGAAATATTTAGTTCATAGCTTGAATAACTTGATCAGAAAAACTGGTTTGTTTTTACGAACCGATTCACTCCATGAAATAACTTGAAATTTTTCAAAAGTTTTATAGCTGGAATAGCTTGCTCTGAAAAACTCCCATTCACTTCTCTGATTCTCGATTTTTACTAACCGATTCGCTTCATGAAATAACTAGAAATTTTTCAAAGTTAAATCGCCTGGATAGCTTCTATGGGCTAATCAGTTCTTTCTATGACATACCTCGAAAATTTTCTAAGTTTCATCGCTTGATTGGCTTGAATAGAAAACTTCAAATTTTCCTATCTTCTGTATTTTGCATAAGAAAAATTATTTTTTTTGCAAACTGGTTAGCTCTATGAAACGATTTGATTTAATTCAGTCTTGTTGCTTTAATTGCTTACTCAGAAAAATTTGAAATTTTAGCAAACTGGTTCGCTCTATGAAAGAGTTGTACTATGTTTCATAGCTTGAATAACTTGCTCAGAAAAACTTATTTGTTTTCACGAACCGATTCGTTCTATGAAATAACTTGAAATAATTCAAAGTTCCTTAGCTTGATTAGCTTGCTCAGAAAAAGTTAAACTTTTTGCAAACCGATACTTTTTAAGAAACAACCTGAAATATTTCCCAGTTTTATCGCTCAATGGCTTCAATATAAAAACTTTTTTTTTTCGCCATCCAATTCTCTTCTTGAAATAACTTCCAAATTTCATGGCTGAAATAGCTTGCTTAGAATTTTTTGCGCAATTTTCATTTGAGTGTTTTCTCTGCGAAAGAATGTGGCCATTGTCGCACGAAATTCAGGAGTTTGATTCTTTCTGGCTGAAGTTTTTGAAATAGTTTTTTTTTTTACAATTTTTGAAGTTTTGTTTTTCATTTTCTTTATCATTTTGGTCTTTAATAGCAAATAACGAATAGAGTTTTTTCTCATCCCCAATTCTTCCTGTAGGATTTTCAGGGTGCCTGGCAGAAAGATTTTAGGCAAAGTTTTCTTATCGTTTCTATCAATTGGTTATGAGAAAAGAATGAACGAAGTTCATGTAGTCCGAACGAATCTTTTTTATGTTTTAGTTAAGTGTTTTCTATCAATTGGTTATGAGAAAAGAATGAACGCAGTTCATGTAGTCCGAACGAATCTTTTTTGTTTTAGTTAAGTGTTTTCTATAACTTTTGCAAAATGATTTTTCTTGATTTTTTTGCACAATTTCATGAACCGAGTTGAAGGTTTTCACTTTTCATTTGAGAAATTTTATTTTGATGTTTGACATATTTTGCATCGCTATATTTTTCATGGCAACCTTTTTGTTTTTGGCTCAACGTGAGTTTATCCAATTTTTGTGTGCTGAGTTGCCGCTCAAACCGGCGATGTGTTTTTGGGCTGGAGTTTTCCTCAAATTGGACATCATGCGACAAAATGTTTATATAGCTTTTCGACTGACTGATTTTCCTTTCATTTTCAGTCTGCTAGTTTGCAATGCTATGTCCGCCTCTGTGTTTTAAATAGTTTTCAACAACTTGTCTTTCTTTTCAATTCTGTAATTGTTTAGGTGGATTCGGTGATGAAACGTAGATCTGAAAGTGGGACTTCCTTCGTAGACATTGATCACGCCGAACAGCAGGTGTTGCAAGACTTCTTCCTCAAACTAGCTCTCTGCCACACCGTTCACGTCAACAGAGGCGTGACCAACTCCAAGTTCAAAGTACAGATGAGGGGAGATAGGGAGGACTGTATTGAGTATCAGGCGTCGTCGCCGGATGAGAAAGCGTTATTAGAAGCTTCATTTAGGTTAGTGTTCTTTGGAAAACGTTTTCGGCATTTTATGAACCACCGAATATCAAAAAAACCTTGTGTTTAATTGTTCCTATCCGGATTTCGTTGCATTATACTCTTCAAATCACTCTGAGTTTTGCGGACTTTTGGATAGGATAATTTTTTCTGACTCCAATAATAATATTTCGGGTTTCTACGGTCTGCAAATGAGATTGGTCTTGCACTGCCAAGAATTACACTTTGAACTCATCTGTGTTTCCTACTTGATCGATATGACATAGTGCTATCTCAGATGTTTCAAAGAGTCCATTCATTTCAATTATGTGTAATTTTATCCATTATTTATACAAACTAAGGCGTTGTTTGGCAAGTTTTGATGTATCTTTGATATTTAAAAAAAAAATCATTTTATGATCATAGATTTGAGCTTAATGCTATATCTACTTATTGTTTTGTTCTAGACAACGGGTTGCTTTCCTGGGTCTGTTCTCTGGGAACGAGATGAGAATTCTTTTAGCTGAGAGAGAAGAAGTATGCTACAAGCTGCACCATGTCCTAGAATTCGACTCTACCAGGAAACGCATGAGCGTAGTCATTGAGAACTCAAAAGGTACTGTTTTATTACAGTATAGTTTTTTTAGAGCATAGAGTGATAGTACAAGGCCACGTTTTTTTTCAACCTAAGTTGCAAACATTGGTGCTACTTTGGGTGGCTGCATTATTCTCATAAAAATGGTGGAAAAACCGATGGAGCGACCTGCCATTCCTCTGTGTGCCGCATGTTCCGCTCGTCTCTTTTCACCGTACCCGACCGCCTTCGAAACTTTCAGTGGGGGATTTTTGACCCATTTTCTCAGATTTTCTGTACATTTTCTCAAAACTTACCCTACCAAATCTGAGATAAAGACTTTAGTCACCAGAACATGTTTTGAAGATCTCCCCTGCATAAGCTGCTGTAAATTAGCTTTGAAGAAAAAGAGTAGTGGCCTTACAAAATGTCCACATTATCTTCTTGGAAACTGTTCTTCTTTTTGAGAATTGAGAATTACGAGGCCAAATGTGAGATTAAGGCTGAAATCTAAAAGCAAGTTGATGGGGTATCCCCTGCATAAGCGGATGCTGCCAATTGTGGAAAGCAATCAGCTACAGATTTAAGAATTGTCCAATATTTGACCTGTTCAGCCATTTTTCGGACTTGTGCCAATTCTAAAATTAGGAAATAATCGAATTGAAATGTCTTAATGATCTCGCCTGCAGAAGCGTTTTCTCCGTAATTACGACTGGGAATCAGCTATTGATTTGATAAGTGTCCAGTTTTTAGCATTTTGTTATTTTTTTGAAATTACGCATTTCCTTTCGTATATAAACATTGCTGGTAGGTCAGTAAATCGGGTCTAGGACTAAATCCCCCAGGATAAAATCCCACCGGATATAATCCCCCAGGACTAAATCCCCCGTAGACCAAATCCCCCTAGGACAAAATCCCCCTAGGACAAAATCCCCCAGTTTCTAGTTTAAAATCCCCCACATTCGAAATCAACAAAACAGCGACACTAAAACTTGAATTAAACGATGAAAGATAATTAACAGAAAAGAAGTAGATAGATTAAAGACTAAAAACTAAAAGGACAAGTTAACAGCTATGGCTTTAAGATAATCCAACTCTTTGTAGTTAGCGGCAGAGCATAAAATTCTCTTAATCCTCCCAAAGTTATCCTCTTTCCTTGTATGGACTTTCTTGCCGAGCTGCATTTGGGCAAAACTGAAAGATTGCAGTGATTGCTGCCTCTGAATTGCCTCAATGAACTTCCAAATGTCAGGATTTGACATTTGGAGCATGGATTCGAATCCACGGTGGAATCCTTCAAGTGCATTGTTTGTTCTGGGGAGGTCGTCAATGGTCCTAGTAAACGTTCCACATATCCATGTCGAATCGCGATTTCCGTCTCGTCGAGTTTCGCATTTCTTTGCCTACAAAGGGTCCTCAAAATAATTCTTGATGTCATCAGGAATGTGGCAAGTTACCAGTATTTGTTTATACCAGGCTTCTACATGTAAGGGTGGGGCAAACGCAAGAGCAGCTAAAAGACGTATAGCTAGGTTAAAGTCTTTGTCCTCGCGATACTGAACTGCATAACCGAACAGAGTATCTTTCTGTAAATGGCTTGCGAGAAGTGAAAGAAACAACCTTTGATTTCTGTGTCTGGAAAGTTGTCACCCACAGAGTTGATGCAAGTCATTTCAAAGTCCATCATGATTGAACTGGGGGGGGGGGGGACGATATCTGCTTTCAAGTTTGACCAGAAAGCGTTTTACGTTTCTTGACGTTTATCGGGTAGCAGGGCATAGATACACAGAAAAGTTGTTCCATCTACGAAGCAGTGGACAGTGTATACTTGGTAGAAGTTATCAGGGCAGCTTTTAAAGGTTCCATCGATGAACCAGTTTCCATATGAGTTTAAGATTTCGATATTCTTGTTGGTTGCGAACACCAAATAACGTTTACCGGTTTCCGGAACTGTCGAATCTTCCAGAAGAAAATCGTCTCCATTCATGGTTTGCATGTATTGAACAGGCAATTCAAAATCGAATCCTGTTAAGATCGGTGGCTGGCTACGGTTTTCATGTCGGATTCTTCTTATCCTTCGTTTGAGGAGAGGAACCACCGGCATCTTCGATGAGCATTTTGGTGTGGCTTTCGCCAGGGCATTTAACAGCACCTTTTGTGTCGAAGAGTCGGTGCAGGCCGCTGCGTCCGCTTTGATTTGCTCGTTAATGGTATACGTTTCCATTAAGGCATAGTCTGGGCCATATGTGTGCTCATGTGGCGACGATTTGAGGAATTCGCAATTTGAAGTCCATATGCTTGCCTTACATTGTTTCTTTGATCGCCGCAACTCGCACTCCCACTGAATAGAATTGACTAACTCTCTTTTCTTATAGTAAGCGTAGTTATTGTGAAGCGCTTTCTGGCCCCCTTTGTTGCTTTACACAAATTTGACTTTATTATTTTCCATTGTAATTGTTTTGAATGAGTCGGTAGTTAACAAAATGCACGTGTTTTACAAACTGAACAAAATTTTGCGTCAAGAGGCAAACGTTTAATTGCTAATGGGGGGATTAAATTGCGACCACGCAAATTGGTATCACACCTGGTACACTGCACTAATCGTTTTGCTGGGACTATAGCGGGTGTTAATTTGTTTATCAGTCAACATAAATTAACGTTAATTTAAGTTCAAAATCATGTTCAAAATTTCGGACTCCCCAAAATCAACAGTCCGTGATCCTAGAGGTCTGAAATTTTGACACAATAAAGAGGATGGTTTTCTAGGAATCGGGGACTTCCTTTCACATCATCCCGCACCCCCACTTTAGTGGAAGCGCGGGATTTTTTACCCCTAGGTGTAAATTTAACAGACCTTTACATTGATTGCACAAAATGTCATATTTGGGATTCGAACTCACGCTGAAGGAATCAACATTGTTTTCCATTCACTTGTCGTACTGACTGTGCCACGTGGCTTATTAATTTTTGCAATCGAAGCTCATTCTTATAGGAAGTCAACTGAATGCTGGAATCTTAAAGTTGCTAAAAAGTCACGTCAAAATGGCGATGTATGTATAAATGGAAGTCAGTTCAAAATGGAATCAATAGAAACATGAAATTATATAATGTGTACAGTTTGATTTCCATTATAGTGAATAAAATATGGGGGATTTTGTCTTAGGGGGATTTGGTCCTCTGGGGGATTTAGTCCTGGGGCATTATATCCGGTGGGATTTTATCCTGGGTGATTTTATCCTGGGGGATTTAGTCCGCGAGCGCAGTAAATCAATGTAACAAAACCGAGTGTAATGGAAATTGTAGCTGCTTAATTGGTAGCTAATTTTGGATAATTTTCAAGCAATGTCAGGGGTTATATTTCGGCCCATTGGAAAAGTTTTTCAAGGCTTTTTCCCCTCATTTCACTTCAGTTTTTCGTTTTTTAGACCTACTTTTTACTTGTGTTTTGAAGATCAGCTTCGTCTCATGTAAAATCTATGTTGCTTTTGTATGGTGTGATGTTATATTTGGACATCGCTGTGTCGAGCGCTTCTGCATTTTTCGACGTGGAAAAAATAAGCTTTTTATTTTTTTTGTTGTTGTCCATGCGGACTGACTAGAACTTCGCCATGTATGTAATTTATGAATCATGTTAAAATTTTGAAGCTACGGGGAACAAAATTGGTCAACTAAAGTGCATATCAACATTCCTGAGATTTCCAAATCTTGAGATTTGAGTTGTTCGATGACATGTATTTTTTTAACATTTGGCACACGCTTAAGTCAGCTGAAAATAGTTAATATTGTATTCTAGGTGAAATGACACTACTTTGTAAGGGCGCTGAAACCGCAGTACTGAATAGATGTATAGCCGGACCAAGAGACACTGTGCTTCATCACGTGAACATGTACGCCGAAGAAGGTCTTCGGACACTAGTGATAGCCGAGAAGAAACTAAGCCGAGCACAGTTCGAAGACATCAACAGCTGCCTGAACAAAGCGAAGACAGCATTAGAAGATAGGGAGAAGTTGCTGGAAGTGGCTTTTGATCATATAGAGACAGGTCTGACGTGTATAGGTGCTACGGCTGTGGAGGACCAGTTGCAGGACCAAGTTCCAGAAACGATAGAGTACCTGAGACATGCAGGAATCAAAGTAAATTATAGGCAGATATATTAGAAAGTTGTATATACAAAATTAGGGCTGTTTCATTAGATGTGATCCCGAATATGGGGTTTAGGAAATTAGACGACTAGCAAATTAGACGATCAGAAAATAACTGCATGTCACAATTGTATAATTTAAGCAATTCAAAAAAGTTTTAGACTTCGATTTAATGTTGTGCGAATTGTGTTGTGAGAACTGTGGTTTGATCAGTTCTGTGATAATATACTTTTTTTGTTTGTGAAACTTCATTCTAAACATAAATTTTGTTGGCCCAGTTCTTATTGTCTAAATTAACAAAGTCATCGACTAAATTCAATTATTTTACGGTTGTCTAATTTGCTTGTCTAATTTTCTAGTCCTCAACCCAAATATTTCGGACCAGAAAACTTAATTGATTTTTGGCTGAATTATCATTTATTCTTTTATATTTAAGGAATCAGGACTAAGAAGTACAGTTCTGTACGATAAAACTAACTAAACAGAGCAAACTATCTAAAAAGAACTTGAATGAAGGTTTGGGGATTCAGAACACTGAGATATATCTGAAGACCTCTGTTTCAACATCCAGATTTTTTCTCCAAATAAGTCATATGCCTTTTAAGTGTTGAGGAAAGGCATAACCAAATTGAATTTTTTGTGAGAATTTTTGCTTGCGTTCAAATTTGTTTCTTAAGTGTGTTCTGATTTTTTTTTAGTTTTCCGAAATTGAGTAATTTTTTACAAAAAAAGTCTCATAAAACGCTTGAGTTTGAGATTCGAAGAGCATTTTGCTCATAAGTTTCTAAGAGCCAATGAAAATAATGAAGACTCTTTTAAAGGTCGTGATGATTCTATCACTTTTTTTCAGGAAAAAATCTTTGAATTTATTCACTCTCAAATTTGATTTTTCGGGGCAGGCTGGCCACTTGGTCTATAATTTTTTGGAAGTCTATATTTTCTAGAGACCATGTAAAAGTCACTATTTACAACAAAGCTTTCTATTTTTTAATATTTTTAAAGGGTCCCCTCTTTGCACTGTTTTGAGATATCCGTTTTCGGTGACGGACCCTGAAATTTTTCTAAAGGCGCCTTTGGCGCCAATATATACTAATATTGAGGGGTGAGCGGGCGCCGAAAAAACGCATTTTTTTATTCAAACTTATGCCTGCGGCGAAGAAATTTTGGCCAAAACAGGGACTTTTTAGTGCTTTGGCAGAGCTTGAAAAATTAATTTGGTCGACCTAAGAAAAAGTCGACAAAAAATTTCGAAAATTGTCATAGTCACCTGAGGTCTATATATTTTTGAGAAAAAGTGGCCAGCTTGTTTCGGGGTTTGATTTCTTTTTAAGTTCAGGTCATTTCTGTTTTTAAAATGAAAGCAAAATCCGTTCGAGAAAGTGTTAAGGTCACGAAAAAAGGGTTTCGAAAGTATATTTTCAAGATACCACCAGAATAAAAAGTTTACCTATTGATCTAGTTTTTTTTCAAATTGGAAGATTTTTTTATCAAAAAAGTGTGAATCATAAGTTTTTTAAATCATATGTTTTTAAATTCCGTATGCCATATGTTTTCTCTTTGAAGTTTTTTTCAAAAATTAAGTTGGTTTTTTGTTTTGCATTCATTTTGACTCAGTTCCGACTGTCTATGGCTGTCTTATTTAGTTTTTTATAGCTGAGTTTTTAATCATACTAAAAAATGTTTATGAATGATTTTGCCACGCATGATGTCAACTGGAAGAAGGTTTAGTAAGCTAAATATGTGTTTGGATCTCATTGCTAGCCGACTGGCAATTTTCCCACTTTTTCATACAACTAAGTTGTTTTACGCCCAAGGTACATTTAAGAACCATTTAATGGTCGAATTCCGCTTCTAAAAATGATTTTTCGTTTTCAGGTGTGGATTCTGACAGGTGACAAGATAGAGACTGCACGTAACATCAGCTACTCCTGCCGACATTTCAAAAGGGGAATGAGGGAATTGTCTCTGTTGTATCAAGACGATGAAGCCAACTGCAGGGAGGCCCTTGAACAGATCAATAACATGTGAGTGTGCTTTCTAGTTCATGTCACCGTTTTACATTAATGGTGACTTTGAGTCTGTCGGCGATGTTGCCCATTTTTGATTCGTGTCTTGTTTCTCTCTAGCACTGCGGAGGCTGAAGACAGAGGAGAGAAGTTAGCGATAGTCGTGGATGGCCAGTCCCTCGCCCAGACTCTGAAGGACAAAGTGAACAAGGACCTGTTCCTCGCAATAGCACTCAGATGTGACGCAGTGCTCTGCTGCAGACTATCTCCTCTGCAGAAGAGTGAAGTAAGCTATGTGTTTTAAGCTTTTGCTCACTGATATTCAAATTTGATGAAATCAAAATATGGATACCTCATTTTTTAGAATGACCCGAAGAAAGAGTTTCGGGCTGGGCTGATTACACTAGCAAAGCTTGTGTTATAGTATGAACTATCTTTTTTTCCGACCGAAGTCACAAATATTGTTGCGACGCAAATATTTTTGCGATAAAATGTGTTCATTTTTAAAGTATTTTATTTTGATCAATAACCAGCTATTAAGTACAGCCAATGCTAAAGATATTAACACAGACTATTATTGTGCCGACTTTCGTAACGAAAGTAACAGAATATTTGTGCTCGGGGTGGTTTTTTCTTCAGACAAATTTCGACTTTTTAACCAGCCATTTTGACCGGATTTTTTAAATATAATTCAAAAAGTATTTGTTGCCTTGAGCTCAAGTTTGGAAAGATATTTCACCTGTGATCCTTTTTGTAAAGTTATGGGGGTTTAAAATTTGGGACAATTAACGCGCGATATATTTCGCGCTATTAATGCTTAAGCGGAGATTTAATCCGTCATTGAAATCGTTCCAAGTTGGTTGAAGCAAGCTTAATTGCCATAACTGATTTGTTTCTAGGAGCGAAATTTATCACTTCGTTTTTGTGATATGGCGTGCGGGGATGATTTCACAAAAAAAAGTCTCAAATTAAAAAAAATATATATTTTATATTTATTACATTTAATTTTTTATGTTCATACTGCTCCATAGACTGCTCTATAACTCGAGGCATGTTAGTTGGTAAATTTATTTTTTTTGCGATAAAATGTGTTCATTTTTAAAGTATTTTATTTTGATCAATAACCAGCTATTAAGTACAGCCAATGCTAAAGATATTAACACAGGCTATTATTGTGCCGACTTTCGTAACGAAAGTAACAGAATATTTGTGCTCGGGGTGGTTTTTTCTTCAGACAAATTTCGACTTTTTAACCAGCCATTTTGACCGGATTTTTTAAATATAATTCAAAAAGTATTTGTTGCCTTGAGCTCAAGTTTGGAAAGATATTTCACCTGTGATCCTTTTTGTAAAGTTATGGGGGCTTAAAATTTGGGACAATTAACGCGCGATGTATTTCGCGCTATTAATGCTTAAGCGGAGATTTAATCCGTCATTGAAATCGTTCCAAGTTGGTTGAAGCAAGCTTAATTGCCATAACTGATTTGTTTCTAGGAGCGAAATTTATCACTTCGTTTTTGTGATATGGCGTGCGGGGATGATTTCACAAAAAAAAGTCTCAAATTAAAAAAATATATATTTTATATTTATTACATTTAATTTTTTATGTTCATACTGCTCCATAGACTGCTCTATAACTCGAGGCATGTTAGTTGGTAAGATTATTTTTTTTGCAAGTTGACTGAAACTGCTAATGCGTCATAATTGGCGTGTGTCACTTACGAAAGTTTGTAGACTCAAAGTTTTACTCATTCAGTTTTTCCCAGTAGCGTTATCGGTTATTTTTTTTTTGCTTCTGCTTGTGTGTTCAAATTTTTGAAAAAGTACTGGCGTCCCCCGAAAATGGGCTTTCAGATATCAGGTTATTTTGTCGACAATTGATCTGTGTATCAAGTCATTGAGATTTGTTATTTAAATTTATATTCGGGGGCTGTTCTCACGATGGAGAGACCGAATGATTGAAAATTTTCAACCAATCCGAATCAGTATAAGTTCCTACCCGCTGAATGGTTTTTGCACTGAACCGAAGTCAGAATTCGCACAGCATGAAATATAGCTTGCCTTTTCAATAATTGTATGTATTATTTTCCATAATTTTTTTAAATTTACTTGCTAAGAAAAATTTTGTTTTAATTTTGCAAAGCGTTTGTGATATGGCAATGATTCAAAAACCATGTATCTTCAATCTGCTCATTTTCTAATCTGTCAATATTCTTTTTATTGGCCTGAAATTGTTTGCTATATGGTGTTTTTCGTGATTTCTTTGAGATGTTTGAATACTCAATACTAATTGGCTGAAATTATTGGAAATTAAATTTTCAACATTCGGTCCCTTCAGCATGAGAGACGCCTCCTTCATATTCCTCTGGGCATTACAAAATTAAATCTTTTTGTACAAATTCATAGAACTAAATCAATTAAGTCCATTGATTACAGCCTATCTAAGAGCATCAACAGGTAGAAGACCCTGCGTTTTCGCCCCTAAAGATCTTTTAACAGACGCAATGCTCTTTACGCAGTGTTTAATTGAACTCAACGTTTTAATTTTGTCGAGTGTAAAATTTGAAAAAAATTATCTGGGCTCAGTGGTTAAGCGAATGCCAAGAATGTTCTAGATTTCGAGGTTTCATGAAAAAAAAGTCACAAATTAAAAAAATGTAATAGCTTATCGTTTTCGAAGTTTCATCACTTCAGTAGCTTGCTTGAAAGACTATATTTGTGATGCGAAGCAATCTAAGCTATGAAAAAAACTGACATACTTAGTTCCGTCATTTTAGTTGCTTGCTTGACTAAGTTTTACTTTCTCGCAACGCAATCCAAACTATGAAAACAACTTTGAAATATTTTAAACTTCTATTGCTTCAATAGCTTGTTTAGCAAAACTTCTTTTTTCTTGCAAGCCGAATTGCTCAATGAAAACATTGAAATTTTGTAAAATTTCATCACTCAAACTTCTTCCTTAGAAAAGTTTAAACTTTTAGCCTCCGATTCTTTCTATGAATTAATTTGAATTTTTTCGAAGCTTCATCGCTTTGATAGCTTACTTAGAAAATTTTAATTAATGCTAACCGATTTGGTCTATAGAATAACTTGGAATACTTCCAATTTTTATCACTTCATTAGTTTTCGTGAATAGCTTCAGATTTTTTTTGCGAAACCCTCCGAGCTATAAAATATAAGCTTCCATTTATTTCAAGTTTTCATTGCTTTATTAGTTTGCTTAGAAAATGTTTATTTTTCTCGAGCCGATTCGCTCTTTGAAATGATTTAAATTGCTTCAAAGTTTCGTCGCTTTAATAGCTTACTTAGTAGATATTCTTTGCGAATTTCAAATTCTGAATCATTCGAATGGTTTGCTCAGAAAAGATTTGAGGATTTGTTCAAGCCGAAATACCTTGAAGTATTTAAGAGTAGCATCGCTTGAATGCATAGCTTGCCTCATAAAAACTTCTTCGCAAACCGATTTGCGTTATATAATAACTCAATTTATTCAAGTTTCATCGCTTGCATGGGTTGCTCAGTACAATGAACTTTTTGCGAACCGCTTGATTAATGGAGACAGGCTTGCTGGTATACTTAAATTTTTTTCAAAATTTTTGGCCACCGCTTTTTTGGGATGGCTCTGGCATGTGATGTAAATACTCTGGTTCAAATTATAGTATTTTTGTTGGTGATGCAAGATTGACTATCAGCTCTAATGACTATCTAAAATTGTCTTTTCAGGTAGTGGGTATGGTGCGTCATTCACCGGACAAGCCGGTGACTCTGGCCATCGGGGATGGGGCCAATGATGTGAGCATGATCCAGGAGGCACATGTGGGCATCGGAGTAATGGGGAAGGAGGGAACACAGGTATTTGACGAAAACATCGAGAATACATTTCAAAGTTTCTTTTCCCAAAATTTAACAAGCACCAAGGCACGTCTTTACTGCGAATTGATAATATTGAGATTAATTGAATCCTAGGTCTCGAATCTCAATTTAATTCATATTCGAAATGAATTGGAGAAGAAAATGATTCATATTTTCATTTTTGTGCGCTTCAAATTTTGCCGCATGCTCTTGGTTTTTTCTACTTGTATCAATGACGATTTTTTGTTGTGTTTCAGGCTGTGCGTTGCAGTGACTATGCCATCGCTCGCTTCTGTTTCCTCCAGAGGGCATTGCTGGTCCATGGTCACTGGTACTACAACCGAATCTCCATCTTAGTGCTATACTTCTTCTATAAGGTACACACGCACCCACTCTTTGCATTAAAAAGTGTCAATTTCTCCTGAACCATGACTCAGGTTCTTATTATAACCTTAAATTATGTTTTACTAATTAATTTGAAACTGTAACCTCGTGTTCGTAAAAAATACAAGGAGTTAGATGAACCAAAGTTTTTTTTACATCCATTCAAATTTTGATGGAAACATGATAAACTTGATGTAAAAACGTTCGATAATGTTCAAGGTTTCTTTGCAGCGACTTGATGTGATCGTTAAACCTGATGTGGTTGTTTAGAATGTGGCCTTCATGAACTGTCAGTTACTGTACCAGTTCTACTGTGCTTTCTCCGGTCAAACTCTCTTCCATTCCTTCCTACTAACCTTCTTCAACGTACTCTTCACCTCCGCCCCAATCCTCTTGTTCGGAATCATGGAGCAGAATGTCCCCTCTGAGAAACTCCTCAAGTACCCATCATTCTACAAAGACATATCGCAGAATAAAATGCTACAATGGCCCCCATTTCTTCTATGGATGTTCTACTGTGTATGGCACGCAGCTGTGGCCTTCTATGGGTGTTATCTAGTCATGCCAGATGTGGATAACACTATGTTTGGGCTGGCTGTGTATCATGTTCTGATTGCGACCTTGAACGTGAAGTTGTGTCTGCATACGAGACTCTGGGGTGTAGGATACGTGGTTGCACTGGTGTTCACAATTATCGTCTACTATCTAGTCACTGGAGTCTATAGTGCACATTATTGGTCAGTATGATATCGTTTTTTTCCTGCAGTAATCATTTGTCCGAAAAAGATTGTAGTAATGAGTAGACTGATCTGAAGAGAAATCAATGGACAGGCGTAGAGCCTGATAGATGACATTTCGAGTTGCAACTCTGTTTATTTGTTCTCCAGCTTGTAGGGTTGGTATAATTTTTAAGTCGAATTTTCTTATGATGGTTGAAAAATGGGGAGGAACTTGGTTTTGGGTTGTGTTTAAGTTCTTTTTTTTGGTTTTTAAGCAAATACAGGTGCCACAAATAATCTTGAAATTGAATATCTTTATTATTGTGGAATTTTTTCTTCGGGTTTGTTTTTCTAATTTTTTCCCATGCAAATTCAGGCACCACAAATAATCATCAGAATCGGTCGGTTGATATATCGTATTAAAGCCCGTCAGTTGTGATTCGAACTTCATTCGAACTTCATCGAGCGAGTAAAGCGAGCGAGTTGGTCTTATATATAAAAGGCTGATAATAGTCTAATTCTTATAACTCAAGTTAAACCATGAAGATTTAGTTTTACTCCAGTAAAAGTACTTCTAAAATTTTCTTAGCGCCTTCTTCAAAATTAATCAAAAATTGTTTTTGATATTTTATTTTTATTCAAGAAAAACTGGTGTTGAATATAACAATTGAGTATTTTTTTTTCGAATATGCTTCCGTTTTGGGCTTTCGATCAGATCCTCTAATCACACCACGAATAAAAAGCGACTCCATTCCTAAGAAAAACTGTTGTTATTCGATGCCACAGTAACCGACTATTCTTGTCATTACTCGAGCGGAGCGTAGTGTGATAGTACGATGCAACGTTTGGTGCCACTTTTGAATCAGTTGGCTGTATTAGCATTTTAATAACACGAACTTTGACATTTGATTAGTAATAAGTTGATGCTTTTTAAGATTCGTTGAGCGTAGTTCAGACTCTTATATAACTCGCGAGATTTTTGAAGTGCATAATTTATACGCAATTTTGGTTAATACATTCTAATTTATTACATCAAAGTTAGTGTGGTTGCCTTTAGCTTCTGCGTTTTAGTGCATTTTATAGCTCCTGATTCTCTGCCGCCTTCTCGCTCGTGTTTGCAAAGTTGCAGCTTCGCCTCTGTGTTATTGTTATTTTTTATAAAAACGAGGTGTTTGTTTTTTTCGTGTTACGTCAACCAGAGAAAATGTCGACTTAGAGAGTAAATTAACACGAACAAAGAACTTTTTTTTGATATTCCGGAGGGTAACGGTTCGAAATTTTAGAAATTTTATCGAAACGTTACCCTCCGGGTTTTGAATCTTTACCTGGGGTTGTCAAAAATAAGTGCTCGCAATGAACTTCCATTTAATTAATAATTGTTAGATTTTTGACATTGCAATCGTTTATTGCAAATTTCTGATAATTGCAGTGTCATTGGAAAGAACAAAGTAGATCTATAAACTAAAAGCTTACCACATTAGTTGAGGTTTGATTTTGGACAAGATTAAAATGTTTGTGTTAGTAATTGCGATTGAAATATTTTGCTCTGAAATGACTGCTCTGTCGATGAAATCCGGTGAAGTGCTTCTTCGTACCCTACTTTTTGCTCCCAAAAATAAGATCTAAGAAACTATTCCGTTAAGTTTGCATCATATAATCCAGAGAATCGGTCATTCTGGGCTACTCTATCTACGAATGCTGTAATTTTTGAATGCTCTATCTAGTCTCTTCATCTTTCGCAGGTATCTGTTCCAAGAGTCCTACGTGTTCTACTGGCTCTTTTTTGATCTGATCAGGATGCCAGCTCTGTGGGCCGCCATGCCCATCATATTCCTGATTACTTTCACCCCAGATCTGGTTGCCAAAGTTGTCTCACTTGCGCGAGAGAGGAAGACTCCAGTGAATTGGCCAGGAGCGCTCGTAAGTGAACAGTCATGTTAACTACTTAATAAGAAAAGGTAAAACCAACCTTTTATTTCAGGTAAGCTGCCCATATGCATGTATTTTGACGGTATAAGTTATCCAGGCGCGGATCTAGGAATTTCTCGAGGGGGGGGGGGATTTTTGAAAAAAAAATGAAATTTTTCTCGACCTTTTTTTTAGGTCGACCAAATTGATTTTCTGAGCTCTCCCAAATCATTATCAAGGCACTATATTGACCAAATTTTCTGCGCCGCAGAAACTTTTTCTTGACCAACAGTTATTATGAAAATTTATGGGATCGGGCTGTTTTATTATTATTTTTATTACTTTTTCAGATTTTTTTGAGACGCTTTGGAATTTTTTTTCACTTCTACAAGATTGTTTTTCTCAAAAACTACTACGATTTTTAAAAAAGGGTACCAATGGGAAGTCCGCCAACTGCTCTGTGTGCCTGCATAGTTACTGAGTTTCTTTTTACCTTTCAGCCTTCGAAAAACTACCCTACCAAATCTGAGATTTTGGGTTCAGTGGGTAGAAAAGATTGAAAAAGCTCACTTGCATAAGCAGCGGTGCCCGAATTTTTGACACAAAAAATTATGGCCTTCAGAAATCAAATTTTCTATTTTTTGACCGTTTTTTGAAACTCTTTGAATTTTCTCGAAAACTACCCTCCAAAATTTTGGTTTCAATGGCTAGAACGGGTTGTGGAAAGCCCACTAAATAAGCGGTTGCGCCCAAATTTTTTCACACAAAAAGTTATGACCCTCGTAAAAGTCAATGTTTTGATTTCTTGTCCGTTTAGTTAAACTTTTGACTTCTCGAAAACAACTCAATCTGATATCAAAGGTTGAATCAAGGCAACAGGTTGTAAGAATCCTCCGTGTATAAACTGCTCAGCTATAAAGTTTGAACAAGAAACATGATTCTGGAAAATTCCAAAATTAAAATTTTTTAACTCATTTTTTAACAGAGCAACAACTAAGAGGTTTTGGTTGAAGCCCAATTTTCAAATTTTTGAAATTACCTATTTCATCCCCCATCTGAACAACAAAATAAAAAATTATCAAACAGGTACCTCCAGCTTTACTTGGGCCTCTAGTTTCCATTTTCAATAATGTTGGATGCAAGGACAAATTGAGTGGAAGCCAATTGAAACGGCTGCCCTTGAAGAATATTTAAAACCTAGGGAGCCGGATTCACTGTCTTTCATTAATGTTACATGAGAGCATCACGTAATTTTCTACTTCTTTAATTTTTTAGAGCCGAATTCGGAAAAAGCAGGTTGTGCCTAGCAGCGCAGACAACATTAGATCAGCACGTACTGGTAGCCCTTCGAAAACTCATCATGGAATGCAGAAACGAGAGAGCGACCTCAGCGGATCAAGTTTCGACAACGAGCTGTATCTGCAGAACAGAACACGACAACCATCGATTATTTCGACAGGCTACGACATCGACGAAACAGGTCGCAAAACGACAGTCTTGAAGGGCTCGGTTGAACCAGCGCTGCAGTATGCGAAGGTGAATTCGGGCTCAAACTCAACGTCTTCGGCCCAGATTGGAAACACACAGGAGATGAGTCAGAGATTCTCTATGGGAGAGCGGACTTCGTTGGCACCAGTCGGTGGAGGGGACAACGAAAGTACAGAAGAGCACTTCACTGTAATTTTGATTTGTTTTGTTTTGTTTTCTATGCCGAAATGGGGAATCACGTTCGTTTTGACCAATCGAATTAATTCATTTTTTTCCATACTGTAGTCAGATTTAATGAAAACCTGGCCAAAAAATGTTTCAATTTTTTTACAACTTGCCCAATTTAGATGACGAATCAGACTATATATTTAGTGGCCTAAATATTGCGTATTCCAATTGGTTAACTAAATATTCCAATTGGTTGCATAATAGCTTGGTTCAAATAAGAAGTTTGTTTGAAATTTCAGTCTTCCCGGATTGATTCAGCTGCTACTGGTGGCGAAAACGCCTCAAGAACTGGTAAATGTGTATAAGTAGAAATTTGATGCGTATCTGCGTGCAATGAACAATCAAACCATTTTTTCACGTAATCATTGTGAGTGTTGGTTGTGTGATTTTATTATATGTCTAAAAAGCATGATTTCCTCAAAAGAATGCAAATAGGCGATTTCGTGTGCTCGAACTCATGAACTCTGTAATATTGTCAAGCTATTTCTCATCCATTGTTATGGTTTAAGCCAATGTAATGTTACAGAAGTAAGTCATTTAAGAAAGTTAATTTTTGAAAAAAAAGGAATGCCAGTAATTTTAATCGGTCAATACTATCACAATTTCCTGTTCTAAAGTACATTTTTTCAACATACAGTGTAAAAAAAAGAACCAAAGAGTCTTGCACTTTCCATTAGATGAAGATCTCAGAATAATTTGTGACATAAACATGATCTTTTAACAAAAATGAAATGAAATTTTGCTGTGTGCCTTTAGCCATATTGATCTCTCCAATGATGAAAAAGTAAGTGGTGATAAAAAACGCGCTAGTTTCATTCAACGCAAATCATTTCTCATTTTAAATGGTACCGTCTTTGAACATAATTTTGTTGCCATTAAAATAAATATTAGTTACAGCCTGTCAGAAACCGGATTCGTCGGCGTGGAGTTTTTATTTATTCATCAGACATATCCTTTTCATATCTGCTATCGATACATCAGATCATGTTTTACCAGTACCAGTAACAGATTCTAGTCAGCTTTGGCTTATCAGTAATCAAAATAAGTAATAGCTAAATTATTGGTTACAATTTCCTAATTTTTCAAATATTCAAAAGTAGTTGTTTTTGTCTTTAATGAACCTAAGTAATGTTTAGATGAATGCCTCTCGACTGTCGAGTGACTACCTGGGCCAGGAACACGACCTGGCAGATGCTGCCAACCAATCATCTTCCACTCTCTGGCTTGTAAGTCTGCTATGACGTAACCGCCATTGTTACGCAACCCACATATTACGCAATCTTTCCTTCTCTCGTCACAAACTTCAAGCCAACTCTACTGACTGATTGACCTAATTAAAATGGTTTTCTTTTCTCCCAGTACTAAAAAAACTGAATCGTTGTCTTTGATATTCATGAACAATATCCGAACTAACCATTAAATGTGCTTGACTTGATGTGTTTCTATTTAACTGGAGTTTGGTTAGAAAGAAACGTTTTAGGGTTTATCAAATGGCTGCTTAATCACATATCGATTTATGTATACCATTTCCAAACTTCTGACTAAAATTTTTTAATCGATTAGCAATACAAACACGGTCCCTAAAAACACAAGCGTTAAAGTTAAAAGCAAAATTTCTGTCAGTCGACATAATTTTTTGATCTATTTAATTACATTAGATTCGATAGTGAAAGTTCATAATTGTGAAAGGTTATAGTTTCGTGTTAAAGTGTACATATAAAGTTCTATTTTTGTGAAATTTGTAAGATTTTATTAATTTGTGTTTTCTTCATTCAACTCTATCACACTAGATCTTTACTTCAATGTTTAAATGCAATACATATTTCGCAATATTATTTTAGTATGTTTGATTTGGGAATTTCAATTAAATCATTTAAGCGTTGAAAGCGCAGATATTTTTAAGTGTAAAATAACGAAAAAGTTTTCACTTATTCCGAAATCTGTTTTTTTCCGAAATCTGTTCACGCTCAAGTTTGATTTTCGGCGGATTGACTTTGATTTCTCAAGTTCAGTTTTTTTTCTTCGTAAAAAGAAAGGCAAACTCGACTTTCGACCAGCAAAAATAACAGTCACAAAAAATGTAAATGACTTTTCATTTAGAAAACGGACTTAAATTTTCTGGATTTGCTGCTGAAGATCCAGTTTCTTCTTAATGAGATTGCTTCGTGAAACAGGCGAATCATAAATATTTTTTCGACATACAAACATGTTAAACTTGATATAGTTTTTTGAAAAATGTTGTTCTTTTACACTCTCCAACCATCTGTTGGCTATGTTCTATTTTTCAGTGCTGTTCAATGTGTAAATAATGTGCATAATATTCATTGGTCTGTTCCTAACAAAACTGTTTTAAACTCAATCTTCTTTCTACAATTAGATTAGGCTTAGCTTCCTTGTTTCTAGTCTT